TTTTTTTATCTGTAAAATGCGAAACGGTTTCGCAGTTTACAGATTGTAAATTGCGAAACGAAACAAACGGTTTCGTTTCGCAATTCACAGTTTTCTCACCTAAATCTGTAAATTGCGAAACCATTTCGTTTCGTTTCGCATTTTGCTGTAAGCCTAGAAAAGCTACAAAAATGTTTGGTCACGACACCCTGCTTGTGCATATTGTTCAAAATGATCAAACTACAACCCCACAACCCATCAACTTTTGATGATATTTGGATAATAAACAAACAATTTCTTTCTCCATCAGATTTTATTTCACTCGATCAAGCTACGACTGGAAGTGTAGCACCATTAAATTTACCTGGGACGATGCAAGTTTTGTCGTTCCGTGTGGCAAAGAAATGCAAGTCCCTCTGAAGATGTCTTATCATTGCTATGAAACAACTTTCAAGAATGCTAACTTCACTTTGAAATTCAAACATTTTCAGGTATTTAGCAATCAGGCTCAAATGTTAACGATAGGAATGTAAAGACCGTATGGCACTATGAGATTACTTAGATATAGAAATAAAGGAAAGTTATAGTGCTAAGAAGGAGGTTATTCCGGTGAGAAAGAAATTCGAAAAAAATAATTTCCGACCTCGTTGGGATTCGCAACCTAATTACCGCAACCTAACCTCTATTTCGCTAAGACCTGCTCCTAGTCTGACATTGTAGCTCAGCTGGTAGAGTATCGGTGGTACAAAAGCGAGATCCTAGCTAGGTGGTAAATGTATTTTTCCGAATTTATTTCCAAGGATCTTTCTCCCGGAATAAACTCCTTCCTATGTAGCTCTGTAACTTTCCTTTATTTCGATATCAAATGTTAACGTTGTTCTTCTATCTATTTGACGTTTATTGACGTTCGTAATCAGGAATAGTCATTTTCATCCGTCTGTGAAACAATTACTACAAGTCAGTGTTTTTATAGTAACTATTAGGGTGTAGTAGGCTACCAAAAGGCAAAATCAAAACCRGTTTTTGCCTAATTATTTTGTCGCATGTTATACGTTAAACTATTGGGAGCTAATAGGGGGTAATAGTATTTAATACTACAATTCCTATTTCACAGACGGATGAAAATGACTCTGTTCTTGATTGTAAAGGAATCATTGTTACATATATCCCAAACTGATTTTAAAACTTCTAATTGCAGGTACAGCCATACAACGTCAAAAATGGTCGATTTTCTTATGCTTACGACTGTGTTGGGTTCTTTTCTGTTCCAATTCTTATGGGTTTGTTTGTGATTGGTATACTTCTTATGATACTGTTCTTTGGTATCATGGCTGTGTTTAGTATTACTACAATGGATAGGTTTGATGATCCCAAGGGATCTCTCAGGTCATTTGGTACTACAACTGGATAATGGTGCACTAGAATGCTAATGTTTTATTTCAATTTATTGTACTTATGTTAGCAAATTTTTGAAATTACAAGATATGGTTGTGTTCCTTTAATTAAGATGAATTTATCGCACAAAAACTGCTACTACAATGAGAACTATGCCAGTTACATTATAGTGCTGATATTAAGGCAGATTTTGCATGTGTGTAAAATGGAACATGCCAGAGCTGTACAATGTAAATGTACCTCACGAAAACACCTGACGTTTGCCTTAAACGTTCCGTGACAATATCTTTTGCACACTCATAAACTTTTTACTTTTAAGATAGTATAATATTCATAATATGTACCAAAAGAAATCCAAGCATTTATAATAGTATAAGTATAATTATTACTAAACACTATAATAGGGTTAATGTCTGAGGGATTAAACATTGAAAGCCATATTTGGCCAATAAGCATTGATAAGGAACAACACCAAACCTCAATTCATTCATATGTTGACATATGAGTCTTTTCAAATTTGACTCAATCTTGATATCCCAGAAGTGCTTATGGTGAGTTTTCGTTATATGTCTTCAAACCAATTTAAGATTTTTTGCGCACTTGACTTTAGCTAGACTGATACTAGACGTTTTTGCACCTTGTGCAGTCGGCGTTTACACGGTAGAAGGGTGTGGGAAAATCATCTGCTAGTAGGTTGGATGGAACTACATGTAGTGTGGTGTTGGTGTCGGGGTGTTGGTGGTGCTAGTTACAATTGAATGATACCATCATTGTGTATGTATAGTAATGTATCGATTTCAAACTTCATATAACGCTGGGGATTGTTACAATAATTAGTAATGATTATCAAAAAGTAAAATTTACAATTAAACCCGTCGTCCGAATCGCCGAAAAAAAGGTTTTTGCCTCGTTCTAGTTGCTTGAAGAAAGAAAGAAAACCACATTTTAGGGCCCTTGAGACGATGACAATGAGGAAATCCTGTTAAATTAATTCGCTTACATAATAAAATGGAATATTAAATTGGTTAGTGGTTGTAACAAAGTGTTGAATTTTATTGATTTTCAGTTAAGATAATTTTAATACTTTTCTAACAAAATATTAAAAGGGGGGGGGGGGGGGGGTGCTTTTGTCAGTAACGTATAGTTAAAATCCAAGTATAGCAGATGGAACTGATCATTTTTGTTAGCTGCGTATTGTCTAGAGCAAGAAAATGCACAATTTGGCCGGAAGCAAATTAACGTTTGTTGCAACGTATCTTTGACTACACTACTCAAATAGATTGTTAAGTAGCATAGTGAAAGACTCAAGTCGTGTTGTGTTTTCTCGATAAAAGTACAACAGGAGTATAAACAGCAGAAAAAACGTTTATACAAGGGGGGTGCATCCGGACCCAAAGTACCTCCCATGGATTAAAGAAAATAGGCGATTTTGGAACCAGTGTGATTCTCTAACCTCCTCCATAGTCGTCTCTTTTTAACTCGAAGATTGCGAAGCAATCGAAGAGTTATTGGAGGGGGACGAATCTGTCACTCACTCACTCACTCACTCACTTTCCTGTAAACTTGAGCCTGCGTTACTTGTGTTCAAAACTATTTATTTATTCTCATTGTTCTTTATTAATTTTTTCATTAAGTTACCGTTACCGGGTTCCCTGTTCTATATTTGATTGAATTTATTTATTTTTTGGTAAAGAAAGAAATCTAATGAAATGTCAGCTCCTCTGAGTCTTGAACTTCAGACCTGTGAATTCAGCCCCGTCTAGACGAGCAATTTTTATGTGACAATTTTTAATTGCCCGCGGTAGATGAGCAAAATTGGACAAATTTTATGTGACAACTGTAGTTACTGGAAAGCTGGCATGCTAGTTTTTATGTAATTGTCACATATCGATAATTTCCCGTGTGGACGAGCGTCACATAAATGTGGCAATTATTTCGACGTCACACTGAATCCAAGTCTCAACATTTTGCA